AAATGGCAGCCCGTCCGCACACGGTCACCAGCCACCGCTGAGGGTGTAGAGGATGGTGGACCTTGGGTTCTGTTCCCGTGCAAAGGCTTTGTTGGAAATATGGGGGTTTCCACCAAGATGGGGGGTGGGGGGCGCCTGGGAGGATATCTGAAGGTCAGACCACCGGACCGGCTAGTGCATGATGAAGAGGGACAATAGGACCAATGCTGGGGAGAGAGGGTCCGCGGGCATCTGGTGACGGGTCTGCCCTTGAGCTCGGGCAGGCTGGGCCGCGGTTCACCGGCAGGCCCCAGGGCCGGCCCTGGGCGGCAGCGCCAAACTTACAGCAGGACGTGGGAGTGGGCCTGCACGCTTCTCGAATTACAGGACTGGGAACGAGGCCTGAATATTTGTAAGAGGTGGATCCCTGCACTGGGGCAGCCGGGTCAAAGGGCCACGGGCCAGGCGGCTTCAGCAACAGACGTTTGTTCCCACAGCCTGGAGGCTGACGTGGGAGATCAAGGGCTTGGCAGGGTCGGTTCCTTCAGAGGGCTGTGGGGGAAGAACCTGTTTGCAGATGAGGTGTCTGCCTGTGTCTTCACATGGCCTCCCTCTGAGGGAGGCTGTGTCCTAACCTCTCTCCTGGGGACATGGGCGGATTGCGTTACGGCCCACCCCGATGACTTCATCTAATGCCATCACCTCTTTCAGGACCCGGTCTCCACATACAGCTGCATTCTCAGGTGCTGGTGGTTAGGACCCCAACAGCTTTTGGGGGTCTCCGTTCAGCCATAACGAGAGGTGCCCCCGTGGGGTCTGAGTGTGGTCAGGTCCCTCTCATGATGGTGCTGAGCTGCTCCCCGGTGCTTCTTCGCTTCCCCTCGTGGCCCTGAGCCACAGCTCGGCAGCGGGAACCGCGGGCTCGGAATCAGCAGCGGAAGCCCCGGGAGGAAAAGGGTGTCAGAACCACTGAAGGTCCCGCTTCTTGGGGGGCTGGAGGCCCGGGGCCGGCGTCCCTGCCGTGGCCGGCAGCACCGAAGCTCCCACGTGGGGCCGCCTTGCTGCTCTGTGAACAACTTCGGCTCAGCCTCGCCAAGCCACCTGTCTCACTGCCCCTGTCGATTGGCCAGTAGCCAGTTCTGGGCCTTCTAGCCCGAGGGGCTGGCTCCACACTGTACCCCCACTTTGAGGAGGCTGAGCGTGCAGCTCGTCCCCTGCCCCCTGCAGCTCGCCCAGGGGCACAAACTCAGGAGGCAGCCACCTCACCGTCAGGATCAAGTTGTGCAGATGCAGGCTTCTGGAACAACCTAGACCTATTATCTAATGAAAGGACTTAGAGACAGGCCAGGCTTCCTTGCTGCCTCGGCGACGGCATCTGAGCATTAGTGAGAAGGTGCCGCGGGAGAGGGACAGGCTGGCTGTCCTGCCTCCGGCCTCCTCGTAAGCATTTGGTGTCTTCGGAGGCCCGGGCGCTGGGGGTCATCCCAGTGTCGTTTAGGCAGGGTGAAGGGCTGAGTGCTGGGCCTTCTCTCTGTGTGTCTAGCGCTCACATCAGGGAGCAGCTTTGTGGCCGAGCGCTGGGCTCTGGCTTCCCTGTCCTCAGTGGCAGTTCTTGAAGCCACGGGGCCTCAGTTTCTTCATCTGTAACATGGAGGTCTAGACTCCAAGAACCCACCTTATGGGATTTATTATCACTTCGTAGTCATCAGGAACCTGCAAATGAAGATTGCCGTGTGATACTGTGACACCCTGGGTTGGGCTCAGGGGGCTCTGACCTACGGAAGTGAAGTATGCTGTCGGGAAACAGATACGAGTGAAACCCGCGTGGGCACAGTGTAGCATCGTCTGTAGGAGCTCGGATGAGCACGCCCCAGCACTGCGGATCCCAATCCTGGGGCATCACCCGGAGCTCCCGACGCCCCAAGCACGGTCGGTCATAAGCAGAGACGACACGCAGACGGAGATGATCAGGACGGAGCATCACCAAGTACTCCGCTTGCAGGGGGAGCCTCTTAGCTTGCGGCCCTGCAGCAGAAACGCAAGCTTGGGTGTTTGTACGGATTTCTGTTAGAGATTCTTAGACCCTGAAGCATCATCTGCTACATTACAATAAGGTCCTGCAGAGGACCTCAAGGGGAAGTGCAATGAAGTGCATTTCCTGACTTTACGGAAGAGCTCGGCGCTGTGTGTTTTGAACACGGACGGTGGTGGTGGTGGTGGTGGTGGCCGGTGGGCACCGCGAGCATCAGACCCCGTGGGCTGCCTTTGCAAGAATGGAGTTCTATTTAAAAAGTAAAACTCGACAGAGTGCCAGACTGTGTACAAACGTGCAGAGCCTGACTTAATCTTGTCTGGTCAGAGTTAAGCCATTTTTAAGCGCTCTCGGCGCCTCCCCCACCGCACTCCTGCTGTGCCCATCGAGGCCGGGGAGAAGCTGGGGGTGTGCGGGCCGAGTGGGGCAGCATCCAAGCAGACGGTCAGCACTGGGTGCTTTCGTGGGGTGGGCATGTGGGAGGACCCCTGAACCGCCGCGGCTGACGTTCCTTAGAACGGAGTCTGGCCCACAGGGAGCGATGGAGTCATGCATTTGGACCCCACTTCTGGGGCGTCCGAGCCAGAGACTGACAGCCCAGGCAGGTGGCCAGCAGCAGGGCAGAAAACGCCAGCCTCAGGAGAGCCCAGGGCCACGCTCACCCTCGGGTCCCGGGAGCCCAGCAGACAGCACGTGGGACCGACCTAGGGTGACGGTGGAAGGACAAGGGCAGGTCGTGAACGTGAGTCATAAAGAAGGCTAGCTGTTGGAATGCAGCTCCAGGCCACATCCATCAGCCGCCCCCCCCCCCGCCCCCGTCAGGGCCCCTGCTGAGCCCTGGGGTCTGGGGCAGGGAGGCCAGCTGGACCCCGGACGCCAGCATCCCAGACAGGAGTGTGCGGCGGTGTTGGTGGTCAGGCCATGAGAAGTGCGTGTCTGAGGGCGGGCGCGGCTCTGCAGGGAATCCCGGGGACGGACTTTTACATCAGAGACTCAGGCAGCCCAGAAACTGGCTACTTTATAACCTCGGGGCTGAAATAGATTCCAGAGGGAGAGCCTGCGTTCACACGGACTTGTGCTCGAGCATGCATGGTCACCAAACGCCATGGGCAGGTGAATCGGTAGATCAGGACCTCCGTGCCACGGAAGGCCGATCTGCCTTCAGGCTGAACGGTGGTGCACACATTGTGCTGAGCCACGAGGCAGGTGCCATGTGTTTCTACTCATGTGAGCCTAGAGAAAAGGAAGCTGGATGCCCAGTGCCAGAGGCTGGTGGCATTGCCAGGGCCCGGGCACTGCCTGGGCAGGGACGATGGGAAACGCCCTGATGTGAGCATGGCCTTGCCCGTGGCCGTGGCTTTCCAGGTGCCATCACCCTGCACACCAGTGAGCACATCTGGGCTGTGCTGAGCTGCACCCTGATGGACCTGTACCTCGTGCCCCGGTGATGGAATCAGCAGGTCGGCCATGGAACCTAGGAATCTGCTTTTAAAAGCATCACGGCTGATACGGCAATCTTTGCGCTGGCGTCTGGGGACCGTGGTTATTCTGGCCTGTGGGGCAGGTGGTGGGAGTGCAGGTAGAGCCTGGTCTCCGGGGGCGGTGGGGTGCAGAGAGCCTGCCGATTAGGTGCTAGAGGATGGGCATCGATGCCGGGTCCGGACAAAGCCATTAGCTCTATATCTAGTACACGGAAGGAGTACGTCGTCAGGCCTGGCCTGGCTGGCATGTTTGGGACTCTGCCTTCCAGAAGTGTCCCCTGCCTGTGGGAAGTGTGTGGACACAATCTCACTGCCTACATTGGAATCCGGTCCTACTGCTTCTCACGGTGGGACCCCGAACAAGTCAGCTGTCCGTGCTTCTGTTTGCTTTGGGGGGAGGGTTTGCAGCGTCCCCAACAACGTAGTAAGAAGTGTCTTGCTGTCCCCCTGTTTTCTGTCCTTTACGTTCAGAGGATCAGTTACAGTAACTGCGAGTAACCAGTTAGTAACAAACCATCCCAGCACTGGTCTGAGAGAGACACTGCCCTTCGTTGCCCTCCCTGTCTCTTCAGCCACAGTGGGCTGGTGGCTCGGGGCTGCAGAGGGGCTGTGGCATCCAAAGGCCTGACTGGGCCTGGACGGCCAGCTTTCACTGCCAATGTCCTCCTGACACGGCAACTGGCTCCCCCTGAGCCGACCACGTGAGGACCAGGGGCTGGGCAAAAGTGTTTTTTTGTGACTCAGCCTCGGAAATCACAGCGGCCTGTTTCCAGCACAGTCGGTGTGGTCTCGGGGGGCAACTGGCCCCCTGGTGCCCCCAGGTGTGCTCAGCTTGTAAAGTGAAGCAGGACCTGCCCCAGAGAGTTGGGGAGCCTGTCTCAGAGCCAGCTCCATGCCCCATCCCCGGAGAGTGTGTAGGGGCCCCTCTCCTGTAGACCACGGGCAGCCCTGAGTTTGGATCACTGCTTCCTGCTTGGTTCTCTGCCATGAGGCGGGGTTACAGGGCAGCTCACGGGACAAGTGCAACCAAGAAATGTGAGCTTTGGGCTTCACTGTTGGAAGTAAGAAATGCATGTGAAAAAGGGAGAAAAACTGGTTAGGTCCCTGGGTGAGTCACCGTGCTGTGCTAGAGCCCAAACAGAGGCTGTTAGCTTCCAAGTGCACCACAGTTTGGGAATTAAATAGTTGACATAGTGTGGATCTGTTTTATAGAGATTTCATGTGCAGTTTGATCTTTTAAATGATGCTAAAAAAAAGTCTAAAATAACTATCTGTAATGCTTTTTCCTAGAGGTAATCAATCACTAGTAATATTTGGGGGCATTCGTTTAGGTTTTTTGCTTCCTTTCTTGTATGCATGGGGAGGGGGTGTGTATGGTGTGCATGTGGTGTGTGTGCGTGATGTGTGCGAGAGTGTGTGTCCCTTCCAGAAGGAAAGGCCACGGAGAGTGGCGTGAGTGAGCCGCTGGCTGGCGGGCTCTTCCGCGAGCCCTGTGGGTCGTCCTCCGCGTGCCGCCGCCGGGGCCCTGGGGGCCTGTCCTCACTGCTGTCCCTGTCCTTTCCAGGACGGCTCTTCTCAGTGAAGGACCTTGCACTCGCTACTGAGTAGCGACCATGGGCCTGCTCGCCTACCTGAAGACCCAGTTCATGGTGCACCTCCTCATCGGGTTCGTCTTCGTGGTGAGTGGGCTGGTCATCAACTTCGTCCAGCTCTGCACGCTAGTCCTCTGGCCGGTGAACAAGCAGCTTTACCGCCGGCTCAACTGCCGCCTCGCCTACTCGCTGTGGAGCCGTGAGTGTTGCCCGCGCCGCGCACGTGGGGAGGTGGGGGCCGGGCAGCAGGGGGGCAGGACGTCCTTTGTGCCAGACGCACCCGAACCCCGAACAGACCGGCCTGCACTCCCTGCCGGGCGGGGGCCCCCGGGGTGGGGAATGCTCCCGAGGACGTGAGCGGCAGGCGGGGCCCGGCTGGCGGTCCCCACGCGGGAACGGAGGGGCGGCTCAGGGGTGGCCGGCAGACGCGCCGGAAGATGCTCAGCCTCTCCACGGGGTTGAGCCGAATGACATCCCGACAGCCGACAGCTGGGACCCACCGAGGACGTAGTTTTGTATGGTTAGCATGGTCTTGGCTATCTGAGGACAGATGTGAACTCGGTTCGCCAGCCGGGCAGCGGGGCGCTGCGGGGCCCATCCGTTCTCTGGGGCGTGCGAGCACCCGTCTGTCAAGGACAAGGACCCTTTCCCGCTTTTGATCTGACGTACATGTGTGTAGACGTGTGTGTCTGTGGCCGACATGCACCTGCGTGTGCGTGTAAAATCAGTCCCCACCTGCTGGGTGGACGGAGACGCCGGTGCCCCACAGCAAAGCCCACGGTTGCCAGGGCTGGACGCCCGTGATGCGGCGTGTGGGGCGCCGGGCGCATCGCGGGACCCCTGCAACAGCCGTCCTTGCCGGCCATTACCCCACAAGATACGAACGTGCCCGAGAGCTCCCTGCAGAAGCGCCATCGGTACAGAACATCGGCACAGGCCGGCAGCCACCGTAGTGCCCCCTCCGTGGGGCACGAGTACGGTGAGTGCGCCGCAGACCCCCGCAGCCCTGACCAGCGAGGGCGTCTCCCTACTGACGCAGAGCCATCTGCAAAATACATTTCTAAATGAAGGAGGAAGGTGCACAACAAAGTACAGGGCGCCCTGCTGTCTCTTTGAGGACGGTGTGTGCCGTGTGTGCGCGTGTGCACGCTGGTCGTGCCTGGAGGGTCGCCCGGGGCCCCAGGAAACCGAATACCCAGGGACTGGAGGGACGAGGGGCCTCTACTTTTTACTTTATGTTTTACTTTTACTTATTTACTGCTGGTTTGGTTTTTATTTTTTTCCTTTTCCTTTTTACTATTTGCATTTATTTATGTATATGTCTGACTTTGTGCTGTTTATGTTTTTTAGCTTAAGATCATGTTTCTTTTATAGTAAAGAGAAAATAATACCCATTTTATATCCTTTGGGAAACGGTGAGTCTCCGTTAGCCTCCCAGCTCGGGAGCAGGGGCGGGATGACAGCCTGTGACTTCCGCAGCCTCGGCCGAGACCAGCGAGCTGGCCCGTAGATTTAGCTTGCCTTACGTGCTTAACAGCTTCGGTACCCAGGGTTTGGTTTCTCTTTTAGATAAAAGATTTTTGTGGGGGTGGGGGAGGGAGAATGAAAAATCCTATCGTGTGAAACATACAATGAGCTGCTCGTGAGTATAATTGGGTGAGAGGAATACACACCAAAAGGGCAAATACTAATTAATAAAAACTAAATTGTGACTCCACCCGCAGCAGGATTATAAGGTTAAAACACTCCCGAACAGCTCGGTCCTGGATAAGGCCGGCTTCTTAGCACATGGCTGGGGGCACAGTACGTAAAGGGAACCTCTCACCACTGCCCCATCCCCTCAGCAGAGAGCAGGGTGCTGGCACCGAGCCTCAAGTTTGCCTTCCAGGGGCCCCAGCTGGACCAGCTGCAGGGTGGGGGGACTGGATTTTACTGGACCCGGAGCCGTGGCTGGGGTGGAGCTGGTTAGCAATGCCCTTTGGGATCAGCAGATCTGGGGGAAATACCTCCTTGGAGCCTTTAGGCTCGAAAGAATCTCACAGATCAAGACAAAGCAAATATGAACTCGTAGTCGGAGGACAAGAAACATCTGGCAGATTTAGACAAAACACTACCAAACAGTGACAAAAAGAATCAGATAGAACGTCCATAAATGAAAGTTGTAATTGTAGAGTATTGTTAGAGTGAACTGTTAGCTGGTGAATGTGACGTCACGTTGGACCCAGCTCACGGGAGACCAGACACAGCGGACGCAAGTGTGCGGCAGGGACCCGGGAGGGCAGGGTGACACGGGCTGAATGAGGACGGGGAGAGAAGCCAGATCTGTGGAGGGGACGCGGCAGGCGGTGCTGGGACAGGATCCTCCTGGTGGACAAAGACGTGGTGCTGTGACTCCGCGAGGACAGCGTGTTCCCAGCAGGGAAAATAAACCGACGGGCATGCTCAGACACGCCCCAGGAGGTCATGCACAGCGGAGACGGAGAGCAGGTGCAGAAATACCCAGAAGGGAAAGCCCGAGTGCTGGCAGGAATGGACAGACGGACCGACGGCAGTCTTTCAAACGAGGGTGACCCAGAACAGTCTGATGCCAGCCAAGAGTGGCGGCCCTCACGGCCCACGATACGCACCTGACATTCCTGTTGGAGAAGTTCTTTAGGAAGAACAAAAGCTATCATAAAGCAGGGTCTGAGGTGCTGGAAAGAGGGCAGTCAGAGAAATTGGTGAGTAGGTACATCTAAGCGATCCTGTTAAGTAATGACCATGCCCGGTTCGTGAGGCTGAACCAGAACCAGGCAGGGCAGAAGCAGGGGTGGGGGTCGGGAGGGCTGTGTGCGTGGGGGGTGTGGGGGGGGGAGGGGACGTTGGGGGGGAGTTCCAGTCCCACTGGGGGCTCACTTCTCCTTCTGGTATTTGCCAGGAGGACAGCGGCCTCTGACGTCAGACTTTACTAACAAAAGGTGGGGTGGGAAACAGACATCAGGCTAACTTGAGAACTCTTAGAAGAAGATGGGTTAAAAAAGCAAAGACAAATGCATTTTTGTAACAAAGACTACAAAGTGGAGGAAGGCCTGAGAACAAAACCTGTCTCCCGGCGGGAAGCAGACTGGAGTGAGCCCCTCGTGCGGGGCCGCAGCCCAGACGCCTGCGAGGGCCGCCGGCCTTCTGTTGCTGAGTGCGAGGCTGTGGGAGCCCCCGAGGGACCCGCTGAAGCAGGGGTGTTCCACAGGCGCCCCCCTCCGATTAGGACTGAGTGGAAGGCTCCCCCAGATTGCAGGGGCACGCGGGGAGGGCTGCAGTCACATCATTGTTTTAATGACCCTGAGCCACTGTCCAATGTCTGGCTGGACACGAACCCTGCTCTCACCCTGTGATGCCTGGTGCCCTCCCGCTAGCCGCCCTGAGTGCATTCCCAGTGTGATCCTCGTCTGGCCCCTGGCTCCCGCTGACCTGGCCACGCCAAACCTTCCCAGCTGAAAAAGAGAAAATCGCCTCCCTCCCAGCAGCCACTCTATCCACCTCGAGTCAGTGCAGGGAGTTTGAGAACAGCGATGCGCAGCGAGTGGCTGAAAGAGAGAGCTTGCTCATTCTGAATGAAGGAAATCACACCGAAAAATGAGTGCTGGGCCCAGGAGCCCACCAGCAAGACTCCTTCAGAGTGCTCCCCCGCGGGGCGGGGGTCGCAGGCACGGACAGCGGGCTGGCAGCTGCATGGCGGCTCCACGCTCCACGGACAGAGAGGCTGCTGGTCTCCAGATGAGATGGGCAGGCACCCCCGGCCCGCTGTTCCCTCGGCTGCCGACTGGCGGGCAGGGAAGAGCAGCCTGGTGACGCTCCGACAGAGCCGCTCTCCGGGACGGGCCGTGGCTCGTCCTCACAGAACGTCTGTAGGGGACTTGGGGTGCCTGTCCATCCGGCCCTCCGTCTGTGGTCTCTGGGCGCCTCTGGAACACAGGGATGGCTGGGAGAGCCAGCGTTCATGGACGTTGACCGCAAAGCGGCCCCGCTCCGGAGCACCTGCGGGGTGGGGGCTGTGCCGTCCCTCTCGCAGGTGAGGCCACACAGCTGGGGAGGGGCCCCCCCCGAGCCAGCCTGTGGCTCAGCAGCATGCTGCACTCCCGCCCTTGGCAGCTCTGAGTCAGGAGCTGAGGCCGTATTGGCTCCTCTCGAACAAAGGATAAGAAAGCAGAACTTGCCCGTGTCCGCGGCAGCGTCGGTCCCACGAGCCCGCAGTCTGAACACGTGTCCAGCGATGGATGGACGGATAGAGAAAATGCGGTCCTACATGCAGTGGGAAATTATTCAGCCTTTGCACGGGGACTCCTGCCACAGGGGACAACACGGATGAAACTGTAGGACATCGTGCGAAGTGAGGTGAGCCGGTCCCAGAAGGACATGTACTGCCCCATTCCGCTTCCAAGGGGGACCTGAAATCGGCCGCACCCCGGAGGGGCATAGGGTTGGTGACGCGGCGCGCTGTCCGGCCCTGTACCCCATGGTAACGGTGCTGGATTGTGCGCTGGAGGTGTGTTAGGAGGGCGCGTCTCAAGTGTTCTTACTAGGATAATGGAAAAAACACCCCCCCATTCCCCAGCAAATCGCTTTAGAAGCAACAGTCTCCACCATAGTCCCTCGTGAACCAGCTCACCCCTGGGACTTTGCACGGGCCCTGCCAGGGCTGCTGCCATCCGGTAAACAAGAGCCAGAGAGAGACAGGGAGCGGGCAGCTCTGGGCTGTGTCTCCCCCCATCAGCAGGGGACGCTTCCAGATGTGCAAGCGGCCGGCCTCCTGGCCTCTGCTTTCCTTCCTTTTCTTTTCAACAGCTTTACCGAAACAAAATCCACCCTTTATACGGTCCATACAGCCCAGTGGTCCTGGTGTATTTACCCCAGAAAGAAACCCCATAGGCACTCACAGTCGCTGCCCATCCCCCATCCCTGCAGTCAGTCAGCTGCTTCCTGTCTGTGGGTTTGCCCGTTCTGGACATCGCAGACAACCCCTACAGGTCGGTCTTTCAAGATGGACTCACTGTTTTCCAGGCTCGCCCAGGTTGCAGCTGGGTCACGTGATGCGGTGTGGCGGGACAGTGGTTATGTAGTGGGCCATGGCTCGGTGGGCATTTGGCTGGTTTCTGCTGTTCGGCTGCTGGGAGCATCCGTGCACAGATGTTTGCATGGACACCTGTTTTCGCGGCTCTTGGGCAGATCCCTGGGGTGGAATCGCGTGGTTGTCCCCTAGCTCCGTGTGGACATCAGTTACCGAGAAATTGCCCAGCATGTGCACGGCACCGGGAGGGGCTCCTGTCTCTCCCGTCGGTGTCCAGTGACAGCCATCCCGAGGAGTGGGAAGGGGTGTCTCACTGCGGTTTGGGCGCATCCTGATGGCTGGTGATACTGTGGGATACCTGGGGAGGTGCTGGGGGTGAGCATCATCTCGTGTGCTTGTGGGCCGCCTGTAAATACTGGAGAAAAGTCTGTTCAGATCATTTGTCTTCCACGCCTGCGCCTTTCTCCAGGCTTGTGAATGAGGGCTAGAAGTGGCCAGGGCTAGCAGGGTCATTGCTGCCGAGTTTGCCTCTGACAGGTGGCCTTTTCTGCTGACCCTGCCTCGGGTTGCCCCCCGGGTGGCAGGGACGGTGGCTGGTGAGTGTCCAGGTATCATCTGAGGGGCAGACCTTCTGTCCAGCTCCCACCTTACAGAGAAGGAAGGTGGGACCCCAGAGGCTGCGTGATCAGCAGCACATGGGGGGCAGAGCTTATGCAGCCCCCACCTTGGCCCGGGCTGGTGGGGGTGCCCATCGGGAAGGAGGGACCAGCCCCAGTCGTCTGGTTCTTGGGTGTTAATGTCATGAGTTGTGGCCTGTGGAGTCCTCCAGGGGCCCTGTAAGGAAGCCACTATTTTCTCCTTTCTGTAAATGGGGAAACTGAGGCCCAGGCAGTCAGGCGTGGAGCCTGCTCTCCAAGCCCTGGCCTCTATCCCCAACGGCCAGTCCCATCAGAAGATGGAGGGGCTGGTGTTGAGCACAAAAACAACGGGGCTGTCCTATGGTGATCCTGAGCCCGAAAGTCGTACTTCTTGGTCTGTGGGGTCACCTTTCTTAGGACGCCTGGCCATGGTGGGCAGAGCCACACTGCCGACCACGGTGGCCCTGGGGCTGGCTGTGTGCATGCACCCACCCCCTGTGCCCCCATTCTGTGGCTAAAATGTGATCGTCCCTCAAATTACAGCACCTGTGGGAATCATAACAGGACATAAAGACGTCCACCTAAGATTACGGTTTTCTTCCACTTCTGCTTTCCATTTGTCTTTTCCCTGACTTTTGCTTAGAAAAGGTCATTACGATTTTGGAAGATTAAATTTATGAAACCTAAACCATCAAAACGCATTTCTAGCTGGAAGTCCCACCTGGATGAACATTCTGTAGAAGTCCCCTGAGCACGGGCTTGGCTGGCACCTCCTGCAGCGGGGGTCCCGTATCCAAGCCCAGCCTCCTGCACCTGCTGATGCCACTCCCCTGTGTCTGCAGAGTTGGTCATGCTGCTGGAGTGGTGGTCCTGTACGGAGTGCACGCTGTTCACTGACCAGGCTACGGTGGACCGTTTCGGCAAGGAGCACGTGGTCATCATCCTCAACCACAACTTTGAAATTGATTTCCTCTGTGGGTGGACCATGTGTGAGCGGTTTGGTGTGCTGGGGGTAAGCCGCATGGGGGTCCCGGGGAGGTGCTGGGGGTGAGCAACACAGGGTCCTGGGGAGGTGTTGGGGGTGAGCCACACGGGGGTCCCAGGGAGGTACTGGGGGTGAGTAATGTAGGGTTCTGGGGAGGTGTTGGGGGTGAGCCACATGGGGGTTCTGGGAAGGTGCTGGAGGTGAGCAATGTAGGGTCCCAGGGGGTGCTGGGGATGAGCAGTGTGGGGGTCCCAAGAACGTGCTGGGGGTGAGCCACAGGGGGGTCCCGGGGAGGTGTTGAGGGTGGGGGTCCGGGGGAGATGCTGGGGGTGAGTAACAGGGGGGTCCCGGGGAGGTGTTGAGGGTGAGCAATTCAGGGCCCCAGGGAGGTGCTGGGGGTGAGCAGTGCGGGGTCCCGGGGAGGTGTTGAGGATGAGCAATGCAGGGTCCCAGGGAGGTGCTGGGGGTGAGCAGTGTGGGGTCCCAGGGAGGTGCTGGATGTGAGCAGTGCAGGGTCCTGGGGAGGTGCTGGGGGTGAGCAGGGCAGGGTCCCGGGGAGGTGCTGGGGGTGAGCCACATGGGGGCCCCGGGGAGGTGCTGGGAGTGAGTGGCATGGGGTCTGGGTTTTCCTTCTCTTCCGGTGTAGCCCCTGGACCGTCTGAGGTCAGGTCCGCCCTCAGCTCTCCAGGGCTTGTCTTGAGCTCAGGTTTATTGCATTGCCTCCCGTGAACCCGTACTGATCCAGAGTCCCCACAGAGCTCCCTTGGCCAGCTGAGCTGCAGGCCGAGCAGAGTCTGCAGTGAAAGTAGCCGTCCTTGGCCGTCCCAGGTCACCCTCAGGCAGCCCAGGGCCTGGTGTCTAGAGCGGGCACCCCTCCTTCCACCAGCCTGTGCCTCAGTTTCCTTGTCTGTAGGACAGCACGCCTGCCCCCTTGCGGTCGTGCGGAGACCAGCGGCCATGCTCAGAGCAGGGCCTCCTCGTTGATGGCAAAGTCACCAAGCACCAAGCCAGTCCCAGGGGTGCCTGTGGGGGTCTTGACCCTCACCGCCTGCCCCCTCCCTCCAGAGTTCCAAAGTCCTCGCAAAGAGGGAGCTGCTTTACGTGCCCCTCATCGGCTGGACGTGGTACTTCCTGGAGATCGTGTTCTGCAAGCGGAAGTGGGAGGAGGACCAGGACACTGTCATCGAGGGGCTGGAGCGCTTGTCCGACTACCCCGAGTACATGTGGGTGAGTGCCCCGTGGCTTCAGGCCGGGTGCCTTTAGGTCTCCTGACCCCCCCCCCCCCGCCGCCCCGACCACATGATTAGCTGTGGCCGACGAGAACCCGCACTGGGGAGCAATTTCACAGCAGAACCAGGGCCCTCACCCCCTGAGCTTGCAGGCTGGGGGGCCCCTCCCAGGCCACCTGCTTCTGCCTGCCCCAGTGCAGACCCAGAGCCCTGCTGAGGGGGCCTGGAGAGGAAATGAGCCCCCTTCCTGCATCCCAGGCTCAGCGGTGCGATGGAGACACCCTGAGAGCACCTGCCCAGCCCCTCAGGGGGCCTCCTCTGCAGGGAGTAGCTTCTGGGGAGCCAGACTGCACAGCAGACCCCAGGAACCCTATGGTTCTGGGGATCAATTTGTACTTCAGAGAAGATTTAGCCTGCTCTTAAGAACATCCACCCCTCAGGCCCCTGGGGCGGGGCGGGGGCCTCCCTCCTATTTTTCCAGCCCCTTCCATGAGTCTGATGGGCCAGCCATCGGAAGTAGTGGCCATCGGTCAGTTTGAACATCGTTTCTGTTTCTAATCTGGTCTCTGGAAGTGTTTCTTCGAGAACTGGCTACTTAGTTGCATTTCTAATCCTCATGTTGAGGCAAATGGATACAGACTTCTGATTTTCCACTCACTGGTCGGAAGGCTGCTGCCTGGGGACACCTTCCTGTTCCAGTTCTTTCTGGGAGGTTGTCTTTGGCATTCTTTGCGAATCAGTGCCGTGCTGTTCGCTGGTCTCTGAGGGGCTCTGTGTGGCTGGACCGTGGATTGCAGCCCTAAATCCAATCACATTGTACAGGCCACCTCACTTGTCACTAGAGTGTTCTGTCATGGCTCCAGATCAGCACACACGCTCTGCGCGGGGGAGCGCTGGAGCCCGTTGCTGGGGTAACCCCTGTCCCCCCTTGTGCCCTAGTTCCTCCTGTACTGTGAGGGCACACGCTTCACAGAGAAGAAGCACCGCGTCAGCATGGAGGTGGCCATCTCCAAGGGGCTGCCCGTCCTCAAGTACCACCTGCTGCCCCGTACCAAGGGCTTCACCACGGCGGTCCAGTGCCTCCGAGGGACGGGTAAGGGGCCGCTCTCTCTTGGGGCTCCGCATGCAGCAAGACACGAGAGTGATTTGTCCAAAACTACATAAGTGAGTGACATGTAAAATGCGGGACAGCAGGACAGAACGGGAGAGCCAGTGGGTGGACGCACCGTGTCTAAGCCGGTCCTAGCGTTTCAGAGGTGATAAAACGCTAGTTAATGGAATAAATGATGAATAAATAATGAAAAAGTTATGTAACTGAAAACCTTATAAAGGAAAAAATACGTATATCTAATGAGTCCCAAAGGAGGCAAGGTCAAAGACAGGGACAAAGAACAGGGAGTACAGACAGAAAACAACCAGACCATAAATCTGTACACAAATGGTCAATAATGTGCATCACCCACGTGCGAGGAGCCTGCAGGGCCGAGCCGGGTGTGGGGCCGAGCCGGGTGCCAGTGTGGGGCCGAGCCGGGTGCGGGGCCGAGCCGGGTGCTGGTGTGGGGTTGAGTGGGGTGTGGGGCTGAGTTGGATGCAGGTGCAGGGCTGGGTCAGATGCGGGTGCGAGCATGGGTGCCGACGTGGGTGCCTGCCCAGGTCTCACCCCCACCGCTCCCTGCAGTCGCAGCCGTCTATGACGTCACGCTGAATTTCCGTGGAAACAAGAACCCGTCTTTGCTGGGAATCCTCTATGGGAAGAAGTATGAGGCAGACATGTGTGTGAGGTGAGCACCCCTCCCCACGACCCCAGCCCCTGGCACTGGGCCCCCGGGGGGCCCAGTGGAGGCAGCCTGCTCCCCAGAACTGCAGATGTGGGGCCAGACCTGAGAAGCACTCGCTGTCCTACAAGGTGAAGGAGTGGGTGTGGGGTGAAGGCAGACCCTTCTGGATGCTCTGAAGACAGGAGCAACCTCTCCTGCTGGAGGGACACAGAGGCTTTTTAAAAGGGGCTGAGCTTCAGCTTGGACAGTGACTAGGATTCCCATCGGCAGAAGGGTGAGCTGTCCCAGCCCAGGGCATCCGGTGTTCTTAATAAAAGGGGGTTTTGACTTTGACCCCAGCTCCAAGCCTAACTGTGGGCGGGCCCTCCAGGCCCTCCTCTTGTCTGGATCATCCCAGTTGAACTTGGCAGCCCCGCCCCTCCTGATTCCTTCAAATGTGCAGGAAGGCAGGACCTTCCCTGGTGTGTGTACAAATCACGGGCCCTGTTAGCGCCCCTGCCTGTCACCAGCCAGCACTGAGTGTCCAGCCCGGTCAGACTGGCCCCCAGGGCTCTCAGAGGCCCTCTTCATGTCAATCCTGAGCACATCTAAAACAGCAACCACACCCGGTTCCCCCCCTCCCCCCATGAATAATTTTGTGAATGTAAAGAATAAGCCAGGGGGCTTTTTCCTCCCGAAGTTTGCAGTGGATTGGCTCACGGGAGGTGTAGATTCTCTTATTCCCTCCTGGGACGGGGAGAGAGCCCCGGGTCTTTGCCCTTAGATCTCAGGAACCAGCGGGGACCGGGTGGCTTATCTGGGGCCCTGGTGGTCCTGGTGGCCTCCAGCCCTGGCTATGGCTCTGACCAGAACATGTGCTGTGATCCAGGGCAGTGACAGCAGCGGTGGGCTCGGGGCCCGTCCTCACCCTTGCTGGCCCCTGGGTGGTCGGGGTGGCCCCGGGCTTGGTCTCAGCCGCCCCAGGTCCCAGCCGGGAGGTGGCAGAGCTGGGCGAGTCCTCCTGGTCCAGCTCCAGGCCAGTGCTCACGGCTACCCCACCGGGTTGCACTGCCCCTCCTCGTGGACAGTCACCCCCTGCAGGAGAAGACCTGTGCCTTACTCTGTTCATTGTCCCCTTTGTTGCAGAAAGCCTGGAATTATACTTTACCTAATCTTATTTTAACAGGCAAGTTCTTAGAACGTCTAAAAGCTTCGATGTGCTATTTTGTGATACTTACCTTTTGGGTATTTTGAAGGAAAGCAATATTCCAGTGAGTCTAAAACATGCTTATAATCAAACAAGACAAAGCTCTCGTGGGCCGATGGAGCTTTCCTTTTTTGAGTTCTTTTCCTGTTCCCTCCTGGTGCGGTTGCACTGGGGGCAAGGCCAGGGGCATCCGGTGGGGTTGGCCTCAGGCTCCCTGCGTTCATCCGGCATTTGGGGCCAGCATCCTTAAAGGGGCTTGCTTGAGTCCACTCCGGGAGATAGATGCTCATATTTTTATTTGTTCATACTGCATATAGCAGACCTACACTAGAACCTGGGTGTGGTGACCCAAAACCAGGGGAGGAGGCCGTCGTCCCTCAGTGCACACCCCTTCTGAACTTTGTCTCCTTACCGGTGGCGCACCGGTTCCCAAGACCTTTGGGGGTCCACAGAGTTAGAGCGTTTTTGTTTATGAGGGGTTCCCCGTCTCCTTCACTGCCTGTGAGTACAGAGCAGTTCCCAGAGGCTGCATGAACGGGGCACCAGCCTCGCTCCCGTGTCCGTTTTCATTTCAGATACGGTGAAGATCGACAGGTTATAACCCACATAAAGCACAGCTCTCCACTTTTGGAGACAGTAGGGCTAGGATAACTTCAAACACGGAGATTTTGGCAGGCTCCTCTCACTCTGGCCCGCCCGGCGGGCAGCCAATCGCGAAGACCACCGCCGGGTCATTCCTGCTCCGGCGTGTCCCCGGCGCCCCCTGCAGGCGGCCTCGGGTACTGCGGCTGCCGTGGGGCGCCCTCTTGCCCTGCGCTCAAGACTCCTGCGCTCCTGGGCGGGTGATCCCGCTGGTGGTTAGGGTCATAAGTTTAAGTGTCACCGAAGTCAGCTATTTGTGAGTTAAGATTAAAGTTCTGAATCTCTATTGCTTTTCATATTTGGACCAAATAGATTTCCTTTGTGAAATACATAATCCTCTTTGCCTAATGGAAGACACTCTCAGTTTTGATTATTTCTGAAGAATGGACTATTAGGAAAGACCAAGACTCCTGCTGGAGCTCACAAATGCACACCCTTCTCAGTGGAGACGGGGGCATGGTCTGTTCCATTAAACTGCCCGTGAGCCCGCCCCCCACCCGTGAAAAGTGTTGGCTGTGCCTTGGAGAAGAACACACCTCCCTGCCCTCCCTCCGTGGCCCCCGCCGTCCCACGGGGCCCCGGGTGCTGGCTCCTCTGTGCTCCGGCTGAATGCCTTGGATGTAGGTGTGGTTTTAGAACTTGAGGGTGAGGCCCGACCAGAGAACGTGGGGCCGGCGAGTCCCCCCCCCCACCGCGCAGCGACTACTCCCGTTTGATGTCATCCCACGGGTAAGCCACCTTGCTTTCAATCTCCTTACCCAAACAGGAGATTTCCTCTGGAAGAGATCCCACTGGATGAGAAGGAAGCGGCTCAGTGGCTTCATAAACTTTACCAGGAGAAGGTAAAGGCACACGGCTCTCCCCTCCCCTGGGGGTCTCGGGAAGAGGGTTCTGAGGGGCGGCACACGGGGCAGGCGGGGCATGCGTGTGGATTTCCGGAGACGGGATTCCCATGCGGCTCTCAAACACTTTCTGCCTTCCTTCCGGTGTCTTCAATTTTTCTTAACTTGTGAGAAATCAACACACTAGAGAAAAGTATAAAGGATGGCATGGTGCTTATACAACCGTGGCTGATCACATTTTACCACATTTGGTTCATCTTTTCGTGTAGAAACTGATAGATCCACAGCCTACACGTATCGTGTGTGTGTGTGTGTGTGTGTGATTTATAGAAGAGACAGAGTCTAGGTGACATGAAGGGATCGTAGGCCAAGCACACCATTCCTTCTCCATTCCCCCACAGCACACCCTCCCCTGAAATGTGCCACCAGCTTGTTTTAGATATGCAAACATACAGGACACAATATCTTCATCTTCAGCATTGCGGGGGGCTTAGAGAATGACAAGATCCTTTCCACATACAACAAATATCCTTTTAAAGGCACTGGTGAGCTTTTAAGAAAATAAGGGTCAGAGAAGAAATTGGAGCTGAAAAGCAGGTCATGAGCCTATGAACCGGGAATGCCACACTCCTCCAAGTGGCATTTGCTGGTCCCCTTACCCTGGAGTCTTGAGTTTTAATGCCTACCTGGAAACAGAAGAGAGGGGTTTGACCTCATTCCAGGCAGGAACTCACCTTGCACGGTGAACTGAAAGAAACATACCTGCCAGCACAGGGAAATGACTTTGACGCTCACCTTTCTCCTCTTGGTCTCAACAAGGTCTCCCTGATAACTGATAATCACAGGTCGGCCCTCAGAGGGACTTGGGGTTTGAATTTATCCTAGCAATATTGTTCAGGGAGAACAAAGCCAAAATATCAACACAACAAGTGGTTCCAGGCAAACCATTCCAGAGTTCCTGAGAGAAGCATGTGCAGGGCCGGGGGAACACAGGTAAAATCCTACTGGAGATGAGCACGTAACCAGACCGTGAGCGCAGGGCTCACAGACAGACACAGAATAGAAGGGGCAAATTCTCCAAACACTTTAGCCAGTGGATCAACAGAGACTAAAATCAGTATGTTTGAAGTGGTTGAGCACAAAGAAGGAACTGAAAACAAAAGAGCAATACTGACAGAAAAAACACAGATTTGAGAAAAACCAAGTAGAATTTATAGGCAGCAAAAATCTAGGTATTGACAGTAAAATTTTAATTGATAGATTAAATGGCAGATTTGATACAGCTGAAGAGAGAGTAAACTGGAAGATTGAGAAGAAATTACTCAGAGGTAGCACAGAGGAAGTGCAAACATAAAAGGAAGTTTTTACAAGTTTTTAGAAGACACAGAGGCTAGACCCAGAGGTCCAATATGTAACTACTGGCAGGTCCAGAAAGAGACAAGAGTGGTGAAGAGCAGGTGTCACAGATGACAACTGTAGAGCTTCTGGAATTCATCAGGTTCAAGAAACACAAGTCTGGAACAGGGTAAATAAAGAGAAATCCAACCCCCCCCCCCACACACACACTTATCAGTGAAATTGCAGAACACAAAAGACAATGAGAAGATCTTAGAATAACCGGAGAGAAAAGACATACTTCCTTCGAGGGAATGATCGTGAAGTTGGCATTAGACACATCTTACTATGTGTCAGGATCTCTTCTAAACGTCTTAACACACGTTTTATCCTCTTACTAATCTCGCACATGCACACATGCACACCAACATACGCATACATTATACATGCATACGCATACTAAAAATAGAGTAAACCCAGAGAGAACAGAACAAATAAAATAATAAAAATAGCATAAATCATTTTAACAGAAAGCAAAGCTACAAAAGAGTGAATCAACTCTACCAAATGCTTTAAAAAAAAAAATACCAATAAAATAGAAAGCTGGCAAGAGTGACCCGTTAGAAGAGTGATAGCGTTGATAGTAATGAAAAGGTAAGCCAACCAAGGAGCAGAGGAGAATAATATGAGTAGCATCCCTAACTTAATGCTCATACATTTGAAAACTTAGGTAAAATGTATGATTTCCAAGAATATAACTCTCTCTGGAAGAAAAATAAAGTCTATGTGAAGAAGAAACGCAGCGTATGTGGTCAAGTAGATAGAAAGGCAGATGGATCTTGAACACACTAGGTTGCAAAGGAGAATCCATCTCGGAATCCAGGGCAACACGTGAGAGTTTAAAACTCTTACAATAGACATTTGTGAGCAACAGTATTGTTCAACACAAGAGGAAAAATAATGTAACAGCGCGTTGTTGGGAAATAGGACATTGTGTGTGTTCATTTGCGATGATTCAGTCACAGTGAACAAACTGCATATCATCAGCAGAACCAGATCATGGGGACATAATGTGCAAATACGCATCAGGCTCTGTGCAGAAGGCGGCGTGGCATGCAGGCCGTGCACAGACTTGTTCACGCGCACACGCCTGTTCAGTGCATGTGTGAACAGTGTCGGGGGAGGAGGGACAGAGGGGCCAGGACACAGCGGCCTCCAGAGGTGACGGAGTAGGGGCCTCATCTCTGTCCCTAAGGTTCGCTTTCTAGAATCATCTAACGCAGATGCAGCAAGGGGCAAGCTTTGACATGTATGACTTTTGGGGGGTGTTTTTCTATTATTTGCCATGTTTTTCTATACTACTGAAAATATATAATAACATTTTCAGTTGTTTTTTGTGTCACTTACAATTAATTTACATTAAGGTTGCCATACTATATGTGAAGTGTTCTATTTTTTCTTTTGTTAGTCACCATTGTGTTTATATCTGTCAATATTGACGTAAATAGATTTAATTCACTCCTTTTATTTTTTTAAGAAGGTCTTTTTTCTATTGCCCTTTTTTTTAGAGAAGGGAGGGAGGGGCAGAGGGAGAGAGAATCCCAAGCGGGCCCCACACCCGGCACGGAGCCCAGCGCCGGGCTCTATCCCATGACCCTGAGATCATGACCTGAGCTGAAACGAAGAGTTGGACCTTAACAGGCCGGGCCACCAGGCGCCCCTGTTTTTAATTTAGGTGAACTCTACCCCCAGCATGGGGCTCGCGCTCAAGACCCTGACCGCACACTTTGCTAGCTGAGCCAGCCAGGCGCCCCTGCCCCACTCCTCCCCCACAGGGAGACAGGGAGACAGCCGTGTTAGTCCCTCATCTTCCTGTCTGTGAACAGTTAGGCTGTGTCCCCTCTTTGCAGAGCGTGTCTCCAAGACACACTGACACTGTAACCTGTGGGCATAGCCTCTCTGCACTTCGCGGAATTGTTCTGAGTTGTGCTTTAAAGAGACCGCCAAGTTTGCATCCCGCAGCTGAGTGTGAGATGCCCCTTGTGAGTAGAGGGTCCGGATGGCCCCTGCCCGGCCAGATGCAGACCCTGCAGTGACCAGCCTCGGCGCTTTGATCCTGATGCAACAGACAGCTTCCGAGAGGCATTGACAGCTCCCGCCTTTGGTTATTTACCAGTTAGCTCCAGTCATAACCTGGAACCAGAGCACAGAGCTCGTGCCTTGCGGTTTTCCCGTTCCGCAGATGTGGGAGCTGACTGGCGGGTGCTGGGGGTGGTGCCGTCCCGGGCCTCCTGGCCTCTTGCCCACTCCTGCCGCACACTCGCTGCATGATCTGAACAGCGGGCAGTGGGGCGGTGAGGGAAAGGGGACAGAGTCCTGAATCCAGTGCTCTTCCTGGCCATTCGTGTCTGGGCCACGGTGGCCGAGTGCCTGCCAGGCTTCAGGGAGGGGACACGGTGGATGCGGTTGGGGGGTTTGCATGCGGTGGTGGTGAGACCCTCTCTGCAGTTCCCAGCAGAGGCTGGCAAGGGGAAGGAGGAGGTGGGTCAGGCGAGGAGTCGGGAGAAGGAGAGAACGTGAGCTCTGAGACCCAGCCCCATGGGATGGCCTCAGCCGGCTGGGCCAAGCATTTCCTGTCTGTGAACGAGTCCGAGTGCCCCCGTGTGCCTCGGGTGAGCGCTGCTTCCCCGACACGCGAGGCAGACACACGCTACACGCATGTGTGCATACCAGCTCCGCTTCCTGGCCTGGCTGGGTCCCAGTTCAGAAAGGCATGGAGCTGCCATCTGGAAGAAGCCACGGCCCCCGAACGCACTGTGGCGGGTCCTCAGGACCATGGGCGAGCCGAGCCCACCTCCCTGACCCTCCCCAACACCTGCGAGCAGGATCCTGCCACCACTCCCGGGTGTAGACGTGGGGCCGAGCCAGTGGCATGTCGAGGCAGTGGGCTGGGGTGAGGGGCTCCCGGAGAGGCCCCCGGGAAGGAAGCGGTGCCCACAGGAAGGGATGCAGTGACAGGAGGGGGCCCGGCCCCAGGCACGGCTCTCGTGAGGTGTGCGTGCGTGTGCACCTTTTCCACCAGCGAAATGCTCTGGCAGCTCGTCTCTCTGCTCTCACCTGCTCCTTAGCCTCCGGAGACGGAGGAAGGGGAGCCGAGGTCACTTTTCATGGGCAATGTAGCAGGTGCAGACGACGGCGGGACCGTTGCCCGGGCCGCTGGGCCCCCAGCCAGTCAAGGCCGCTGCCCCACCAGCCCACCCTCAGGAGGTAGCTGGAGGCAACGGGGGCCCCGCCAACACGCCAGGCCTGGGGGCAGCGGTGCCTGCATGAGCCCGGCTTTCTCTCAGCTTCCACAAGGGTCCTGCTGTTCCCAGCCCATCGCACACAGGGTAGTTGCTTCATTGACGGGAACGTGGACGGGTGGAGTCATTTCCATCGTCAGCACTCGGCCCTCGCGGTAGAAGAGCATCTAAAGCCGCTTGTTCTCCCTCTTTCAGGACGCCTTGCAGGAGATGTACAACCAGAAGGGCGTGTTTCCGGGGCAGCAGTTCAAACCCCCCCGACGGCCGTGGACGCTCCTGAACTTCCTCTCCTGGGCCACGGTCCTCCTGTCCCCTCTCTTCAGTTGTGTCTTGGGTGTCTTTGCAAGTGGCTCGCCTCTCCTGATCCTGACGTTCCTGGGGTTCGTCGGGGCAGGTAACAAATGCGAATAACACAGCTCGAGCTGGGGGCCTTCTGTGCTCCAGCCACGGCGCCCGGGCCCGGGAGCCGTCGAGGTGGCCGGCCTGTAGGGGGCAGGCTCCACCTGGAGTCTTTCCGGCCTCTGTCCATGAAGCCATAGGGTCGTGTGGGCCGCAGCCACGTCCCGGGGCCGTCTCCCTACAAACTGACCGGCCGCCGACTCTCAGGGCATCAGCATTGTGTGCTGCAGCTGGGCGGGCCCGTGTCTACGTGGTGACGGTCTGAGGGTCTCTGAGGACATGGGCATGACTCGACAGCCCCCGCACACAGTCCTGGGCTCTCGGGACTCCCCCGGAATCTTCGCAGACGGACGGGCACCCAGTCTGTCCCAGGCACCTCGCAGGGCGTGGCAGCCCCGCCAGGCCCATGGCCACCTCCTGCTCCCACCCCTGTAGCCCCCCAGACAGGCTGGCCCCTGTGGGGCGGGGGGAGCGGGGAGAGGGCTGGCCTGCCGTCCCCACGGGGGGGGTCAGAGGCAAAAGGTCGGGACCCCCCCCAATATCAGTTTTTCCAACTGGATGGCTAAGCGACCAGTCTAACCTTGCCTTTTTCCTATTTTAAAGCTTCCTTTGGAGTCCGCCGACTAATAGGAGTAACTGAAATAGAAAAAGGCTCTAGCTACGGAAACCAAGAATTTAAGAAAAAGGAATAATTACTGGCTGTGATTGCACATACATAACCTGACGGTGGTATCCAATTAACTCATTAAAAACAGAACAACACACAGAGATCGGAACAAAAGACCCTTAGAAACTATTTTTCGTACTAACTGGTGACTAATATTGACCAGTAAACCTTGAGCCAAGAGTGAAGCCGTCGGAGGCCCACAGACGAAGACTCCGGCTGCACCCCTGCATGGGGGGCGGTGAGAGTCCACCACGGAGCTGGGCGCGGGGGGCGCGTGTGTGCGGGGGTGGGGGGTGGCCACTCCTGGGATCACGGGTCCCGCCCCGATGTCATCTTGAGAGAACTCTGCCTGCCCGAGGGAGCCTGTGATGCTTTCTCTTCTTAAACTTAGATCCCATTTTTGTTTTTATCGGTTATTTTGGGAACTCACCCTGGCCCTTCGCCTCCTCCCCTCCCCCCAGCAAACCTTCCCCTGCTCTCCTGGGGTGGAGGACTTGCAGGTCCCAGGCCCCCAAAGTGCCCACCTGTCCTGCCCAGCACCGCCCCTTCGCTCCGGCCGGTGGGGTGGGAGCGCAGGGCATTCTCGGGGGGACAAGCACACGCCGAGTGTCGGATGGATGGGTAGCCCCATTTCACTGTCAGACCACGGCTTGCCCGTTTCCCCCCTAACCCCGTGTGTAAGTACCTTACATCTGTTTTTATAGTGAAGGGACCCCTTCACCCGGTACCTGAAGCCCCCTGTCCCTCTTTCTCCCTGCGGCCTCCACGGGGCTGCACCCCTGCCCCCGGTGCCGGGAGAGGGCTGCCATGCAGCCCACAGGACTCTTGGATGCTCGTTTAAAAGTATGTCACCATCAAACCTTGCTTCTGGAGGTGGTTGGAGACTGTTCACTTGGAGGTCATTGGCTTCTAGAGGTTTCATTTTTACAGTTGGTCGATTGATGGCCCTCTGCTCCCTGATGCAAAGTAGAGGTGGTGAGCCTCCCCCGACTCCGCCAGCCTCCCTTTCCCAAGCAGGTGCCGGGGCCCTGGGGGTGGCCTGCCCCTGTGTGACAGGCGTCACCCCGGGGGCATGGGGCACTGCTCCCCCCTGCTCCCCCCACCATGGGGTGTCTCCCCATGACCTGACTTGGGCCCGCGGCCCAGGGGAGCTGCGTGTTCCGCAGATGGAGGCGTGGGGCTGGGGTTGCTGGGCTGGTGGAGGGAGGGGCATGGGGGGCCCCCCAGAGCCAGCTCCTGGGCCTCAGCTCAAGCATCCCGCTGCACGCCCCGCCTGCATTGGACTTCCTTCCTAAACCTCAGGCGTGTTGTTTGCAAGTCACACTCCCCTCGCCCTGTTTAGCCAGGGAAGGAAAACTAGCAGGTGTTAGCTCTGGTACCCTGTAATCAGCATTCCCAAGAGAGGCAGGCTGAATTTTCTAGGAGAGGAGGTGGAGGCAAGAGGGATGGGAACAATAGAAACTAAACTGGACAAATAACTATGCATCAGCCCTTGGTCTGTGTTCTGGGAGGATTTCTCGAGACCGCACATGCTCTTTAGGAGGACACTGCTGGATTCTGTGTGGTCGCCGTGGGGCAGGGTGTGACGGAGCTCAGACCCCGCGCTGCAGGGAGGCGCTGCCTTAGATTCTTTCCCTTCACCTGGCGAGCTGCTTCCCTGTCCCCGTCTCTGTGTGTCACTAACTCACTAGCACCTGGGACGTTGTGGAGCAGCCGCGGGGCACCGCCGTGCAGACGCCTCACCTACTAACTAAACAAGACACAGTTTAGATCTTCCACCTCTTAACTCCTAGCTCTCGTTGCCCGGAGCCTGGGGACCCCTGTGCGCCAGGGGAGTCCGCCCGGAGTTGCTGAGCGAGCCGCGCGGACTCCTGTTCGCACGGAGACCCAGGCCAGCGCAGGTTTTAAATCTCAGTGATTCCCTTCCGATCTAACAGATGAGCTTGTGCACTTGATGCCAAGACCTTGAGAGCAATAAAATCTACACCATGAATGTTTGGGGGTTTTTGTTTGTTTTTGGAGGGGGATGGAGTTGCTTTTCATCCACTTCAGAAGGAGAAGGAAGAGGGGAACTCCTTTAATTTTGAAAATAAATCAGAATAGTGCTTTTCTCTTTATACCCTACAACTGAGCTTCCTCTGTTGCTGACGTCACGTCCAAGTTAAGGCCGAATGCTTGGACTGTGCGGGCTGGCCGCGGTTGGGGTGCACTCAGGCCCCGGGTCCTGGGCATCCCCCGCGGGCACCCCACAGGCTGAGCTCGGAGCCTGGGGGCCGCTGATGACTCCTCCCTCGGCTCAGACCCACGGCCGGCTCTCGGGCACCTTCCACGCATGCACCTCGGCCCTGCCCAGCGAGTGCAGTTCGGGTCGTGGTCACTACCCATGTGTCCAGCTGAGGAGAGGATCCCAGCTTGTTTACCCCCGCTCTGGGGAGTTCCAGGGACTTCTAAGGTGCCCGTGGCAGCTACCAGCACCTGGGGACTCTTGATAGCAGTGGAAGTGACCATCCCCACTGCATGGGGGCCAGGAGGCGCTGGGAAAGGGCTTAGCTAGTCAGAAAGAAAGCGTGTCCTCGTTTACGATTAATCCAAAGGAAGAAGTGACCCTGGCCATCCAGTGCTTGGTGGCAGCATGGCCCTCCCTGAGGTGTCCCTACAGTCCCTGTCCTCAAGAAGCACAGAGTCTAGTCGAAGAGATGAGTTCTGAATATACAAACCACTAAATAGCAACATAAAACAACCATGTAAGCAACACTTAGTCGTAGACAACGCAGGTACGGTCACTGGTCCATCTTGAATCTCCACCTGTCTGTCCCTCTGACCCCCCCCTCTGTGCCCCAAGGCATAAGAACCTTTTCTTCCACTCGTTTAGTTACTGAGCATTACAGTTGAGCTGAGCAAAGAGTGGAATATGCAATTCGAGAGCAGTCTCCAGGCTGTCCTTGTCCACGTGGCCACTGCTGGGGGTCAGATTTGGGGTGAAGGATAAGTCACTCTCTGCATGTTGCTTTGTCTCTGCTGAGACACTTACAGGACAAGCCGCACAATCTTTCCAGCCTGCTGATTTTCAGCTGAACTGTTCAACCTTGTGCATAAGCTGACGCTTCCAAGTTCTCACCGATACCTGCATGCTCTCCCTAGCACACGGCGCTCAGAGTCCCATGGTGTCGTGTGGCTTCTAACCCTTCCGCAGTATAACCAGGCTTAAGGTGACAGCGGTGGGCCTGGCGTGCCCACCCGCTTCCTCTCTGGACACAGTACGTCCGCGGCCCAGGTGCCTGCCCCTTTCTCTAGCGAGTGAGCTCCTGCAGGAAAGCGAGAGCCTCGGTGAGCGCCTGGGCCGTGGGGCAGCCGGGGCGCACCGGACGTTCGGGGTCCGCATCCTCGTCTGTCAGGGCCGGGACACCCCAGCACAGGGACAGCCCGGGGGCAGAAGATGTCACACCGTGTTCTGCTTGGCTGAGGGGTGGACACATGCGAACTCAGTTTTACCACGAGCATTTGCCGCGGTCCAGTTCCGTGAAATCGGTGGCATTCCCATAAGCTGCTCGGGTACATAAAGGACAAGACCACTTTTAGGGGACCTAGGAGATGGCCAGAGGAGCGGACATCAGTCAGCCCTGTCAGCAGCTGGATATTCTTTTCAAAGACAATTGAATTGCTTAACATTTTTATGCTCTGTAATGACACGTCCACCTGGAGTTTTCTTTTCTCATAAACTTTTCCGTTTCTTAACTTTCTGTTGCAAAAGTGATGGGACAGACGTCGAACTGTGAATGAGGCCCTGAAATGCACTAAGCCGTGTTAAATTAAACCTGAGCTACTTGATGCCATGAAGAAATGCATCTGATCTGCTTGTATTTATTGTCTCAGACCTGTAAGATTTGTACGTTGTGACAATCAAATGTGACTCGCCTAAATGCCGGGAAATTCCACTGGCTTCTTAACCATAAAGACCGTCCACAAGTACTGTAACTGTAAATGAGCATCTCTCTCTCTGGAAAACCACGCAAACCCCCGACTCGGTGCGTGCGACAGACGTCGGGGTTCTTTTCTATTACTGATGATTGGTCCTATCTGACTGTTGGCCAGTTGCAAAGTGATGAATTCTATACAGGGTGCAAATGTATTATATGGATGTTTCCTTTTGTACACTTCATTTTTACAAGTTTTGCTACTCACAAGCTTTATGTAGTCAAGGATAGCGGTATTTTTTGGCCAATGGGAGCCTGTGGGGGTGGGGTGGGGATGGGCAAGCTACCTGAGATTTTACCAGCCTGCGTCCCAAACAACCGGCCGTGTTTGCCACGCTCTGTGGACATCACTGTACGTGGGCGCGTGTGAGCCTGCCCGAGTGGTGGTACTTTCTAGATAAAATGCTGCAGGCGCCACGTGTGCCTCTCAACATTGCTGCTGTCACAGAGAGGGAGGAGACATCCATAAACGTTGTCTCCAGTGTGCGCGGGTCCCCCTGGGCGGCAGACGCCCGGGCCACCTACCCGCACTGACCGCCCCCGCGGGGGGCCACTCTAGCTGGGGCCGTCCTGCTGGGTGCGCTTCCCACGCTTCTCCATTTCATGTAAGATGCTTTAGGAAAAGGGGAAATCGGAAAGGAGAGTGACCATCTGGCGAGGAGAATCAGCTGGGGCACAAAGTGCTCAGTGACCCTCTGCCTAAACATGGGTCTTAAAAGCCATCAAGGACAAAAAGGTTTTCCAAAGTAGGCATGTATATATCAAAAATTATTTTTTTGTAACAACAAATTCATTCTGTGGAGAAAATCGAGGAACAATTTTTCTTCTTTATAAAGAAAAGAACTCTTGTTAGAACCAAGAGCTATTCCAGGTTCTCATTTGTCTGTCTTGTGAAAATAAATCGAGCTGAAAGAGTCGTGGTGTGACCTGTGCTCGGGCAGCAGCCCCTGGTGATGTGCTTTCCTGCCCTGCCCCTACGTGGCTGTGGCGGTGGGGACGGGGCCACGTCCACGCTCCGCTCAGGCCACCTGAGACCAGGTTCAGATGGGCTCTCCCGAAAGTCCCACATCTAGACTCATTTTACAAACTATTAGTCTCAGAGGGGCACCTGGGTGGCTCCGTCGGTTAAGCATCCGACTTGGTTTCGGCTGAGGTCACGATCTCAGGGTCGTGGGATCGAGCCCCACGTTGGGCTCCGCGCTGGGTGCGGTGTCTGCTGGAGATTCTCTCTCTCGGCGCCCCTCCCCCCTCCCACGCTCACACACGCTCTCTCTCTCTCTCTCTAAAATAATAAATAAACCTCTAAACAATAAGAAACATCAGTCCTCAGAACACACATGTGCCAGCACACAGACGTACACACAGATGTGGGGTCTGGGGGAACAGG